GGCGCCCCGCCCGCCCCCTCTTGCTAGTCTGCCACTCTCTCGGCTATCTCCCGAGCATCTCCCGAGCATCTCCCGCCTGCGTACTTCGGCCAGATCTCGCCCGTGCACACCTCGGCCAGACACCCCTCTCCCCCGCCTCCCCTGCCTAGGCTCGCCGGCGTCAGCGGTGTACGTTGCTGGCGAGAGCATCGGCGGCGCGAGGGTAGCCGCTGCGAATAGGCAGCGTGGCTAGAAAGAGCGACTAGAAAGAGCAGCCACACGCCGCTCCACGCGAGCTCACGCGAGCTCAGCCGAGCTCAGCCGAGATATGACCCGAGGGTAGGCTCGTCGACGTCATCTGCAGATCTCGGGTCATCTCGGCCTCATCTCGGCGTCATCTCGGCTAATCTCGGCTCATCTCGGCTAATCTCGGCTAATCTAGGCTCGTCGACATCATCTGCATCTACGGCTACACGCTCGGCGTCTTCGTGCCCGTCTCGATCCTGCGCGCGCCGCCTCGAGATCGCCTCGAGATTCGAGATCGCCTCGAGATTCGAGATCGCCTCGAGATTCGAGATCGCCTCGAGATTCGAGATCGCCTCGAGATTCGAGATCGCCTCGAGATTCGGAGTCGCCTCGAGATCGCCTCGAGATTCGAGATCGCCTCGAGATTCGAGATCGCCTCGAGATTCGGAGTCGCCTCGAGATCGCCTCGAGATCGCCTCGAGTTGGGCCGAGGCCAGGTGCGTGCTGCCCCCCGAGATTACCCGAGATTACCCGAGATTACCCGAGGTTACCCGAGATTACCCGCGGCCAGGTGCGTGCTGCCCTCCGAGATCACCCGAGATTACCCGAGGTTACCCGAGATTACCCGAGGCCAGGTGCGTGCTGCCCTCCGAGCCGCTACGCTGGCTGCTCGTGCTGGCGGGCGGCGGGGTGTCGGCGCTCTTTGAGCTGTGAACGGCGTCTCTTCACACCTGCAGCTGTGAACAGGCGGGCGGCGGGGTGTCGGCGCTCTTCTTGCTCTCAAACTTCCACGCGCACCTGAGCGACTGCTTCCCGTACGGCGAGCTGTGAACGGCGTCTCTTCACACCTGCAGCTGTGAACAGGCGCACCTGAGCGACTGCTTCCCGTACGGCGAGGGCGCGCCCGAGCCTAGATGCACATGTACATGTCTCTGTGCATGCACATGTCAGACACATGTCAGACACAACATGCACACATGCACATGCACACGCACATGTCCACAGACACATGTCAGACACATGTCAGACACAGACACATGTCAGGCACATGCACATGCGCATGTGCATGTGCATGCACATGCACATGCACATGTCAGGCAGGCAGGCAGGCAGGCAGACAGACAGTGACGACTCTCACTCGACCGCGCGCGCCATTCGGCCGCCTGACTTCGCCTCGCGCTCCACTCGTACTCACGGGCGGCTGGCGAGGCTGGCACGCCACCTCGTCCACACGTCGCGACGCCACATCGTCAACGCCTTTCCGAGACTTTTCCGAGACTTTTCCGAGACCGTTCCGAGACCGTTCCGAGACCTGTCCGAGACCATTCCGAGACCTTTCCGGTCCGCCGCATCGTCCAGGCGACGCAAAGCGGAAGATGGCGACGCTGCTCGGCGGGATGGCGGCCTGCCACTTTGTGCTGCTGCTGCTATTCAAGCTCTACTTCTTCCACTACGCCTGACGCGACGCCTGACACTACGCCTGAGGAGGCCGCGTGCGGCGGCGGGCGTGCGGCGGCGGGCGTGCGGCGGCAGCACGCGCGACTCCACGCGCGCATGTGTGCGTGCGCGGGCGGAGAGGAGGCGCGGAGGCACGACCGATGTGCGAGCCCGGGGCATTGGCGTGTCGGCTTGGTCGAGACTCGCGAGAGGCGCCCGTCGGTCGTGCCTCCGCCCGTCGAGTGTCGTGCTGTCGTCGGCCGCGCCGCTGCTGATGTAGTGCGGTTAGGCAGACTCCAGACACGTATATGTAGCTCACCTGTCTTCCCGGTCTCCAGACTCCACTTGCGGCGCGGGCGGAGAGTCGGTCGCTCCGCGCGCAGAGCTGCTCGTCGTGTGTGTGTGGCGCGCGTTTTGCCGCACTATACAATCTAGAGCGTAGAGGAAGAGCCGTACCCAGCACATGCCAGCACGGCGGGGTGTGGGCTGTGTACCGTCTCTCCCACTCCCACCCCGGCACCGCGGCCACCCCGCTGGCGCTAGCTCGCGCCTTGTCGCCTACTCCCAGTGTACCCGCCCGACCGAGAGACACACACGACCGCGGGCAGATCGGCGCGCCGCGCGCCGCGGAGGCTTCGGCTCGGACCGCGCGGCCCTAATCGTCCTCCAGCTCCTCCGGGTGTATGGGATTGGGCAGTGGCACCGCCGACCTTCGGTCCGCGTCTCGTGAGAGCGGCTTCCGCATGTCGTATGCGTCCTCGTCGCCAGAGTAGTAGCCGAGCACGTGCCGACAGACGGAGTAGCCCAGGCTCTCGTAGAAGCTGATGGCGACGCCGTTTGACCGCCGCACAAACAGGTCCACGAACCACGCCGCCTCGTGATCCGACACCGACTCGAGCAGACCCATCAGCGCGTGGGCGGTGCCGAGGCGGCGGTACTCGGGCGGCACCGTGACGGCCGTGACGTGTCCGTGCCACGGCAGCCCGGCGTCCAGCTTGCCAGGCGCGCCCGACCCCTCCGCCTTGCCGAGCACGTACCCCATCGAGCGGCCGTGCGGCGCGTCGACGTTAAAGCAGTACTGCGGCCACTTGGCGAGGTACTGGAGGTAGAAGCCCATCGTGAAGGTCTCCGTCAGCGGGTCCAGGTTCACGTTGTTGAAGCGGAGCAGGTCGAAGGGCGAGAAGCGGCGGAGGGTGGCCATCGCCGGTCGCCCTGGCGTGGTCGGGCGGCGGTCGCGCTTTCTTTTTACCGCCGCATGGACACTTGAGAATACCGCCAATGGCAGTTATAAGTTGCGGCCGTCGACGCGGCTCGTCTCTGCCGCGGCGGCTGCTGCGCGCTCGCAGCGGCGCCGCTCTCTCGAGCGACGGCTGGCGCCGCGGCTCGCCGCCGACGCGCACTGCGCTCGCACGACCATCCAGCGCTTCTGCGGGCGCCTCATGCTGCACTGCTGTACATCATCCTGCACTGCTGGATTGGACTGCGTTGGTCCTCGAGGAGACTGCGCGGTGCACTACGCGGAGGTCTGCGAGCGTCGATCGCGCACGGCAGGCGGATTGCGGGCTGCGTGAGAGCGGCAGGCGCTCTTCTCTCTCTGGTGCTGCTGCTGCTGCTGCTGCTGCTGGTGCTGATGGCGCTGATGCTGCTGCTGGTGCGGCGCGGCTCTGCGACTCGGATCACCGCGCGCGTCGCTGGAATCTGACGCGGTGGGCGGCGTCGAGAGCGGCAGCGGTGGCGGCTCGAGGGTGGAGGCGGTGGCTGGAGGCTGTGGTGGACTTTGAGTTTATTTAGGGGTCGAGTACGCGGGCCGCCGGCGAGCTGCTGCCGCGCATGCTGCGCTGTGGGCTTTGCCATCGTGTCCTGAGTACGTCGCCGACGCCACCTGCCGCTCGCCGCTGCCTTGGACTTCCCTGCCATCAAGCAAACACACAGACACATATACCTCGTCCAAAAGAGCTCCCCTCCCACACACACACACACACACACACATGCGGCGCGACGAGTGGACGCGGTTTATTTTTTTGAGCTTAGCCTTCGATGTTATGAAACAACGCAAGGCGGACAGGGCATATCGCTCTCGGGCCCACAGACATCCCGCACACTCGCCGCACACCCGCCGCCCCCGCGCGCGCCCCACCTCGGCCGGGAGAAAGGGGAGTGACAGTTTGGGATGAGTAAGCCCGAGTATGTTGAGTCCTGGCTCAACAACGCAGATAACAAGAGGGGGTGGTCCGGCTCACAAGTCCGGCTCACGCGCCTCGAGCTTACCATCTACCGCACTGGTCACTTCCTATTTTTTTTTGAGCCGTCCTCCGACATGCTGCTGCGACGCTTACGACGAGCAGTAAAGGCGGCAGGCCTCACGGCTGGTGCGGCAGTGGCCGCCATCGCCTTGCTCGAGGAGCGAAGGCGGCGAAAGCTCGCGCTGCCTGGGCTGATTAGCACGCACTGCGTCGCCGAAGCCGGCAGCGGCGAGGCTGCCGCAGCCGCACTCGATGAGCATGGCTGCTGCGTGATTCGCAACGCCCTCCCGGCGCAGCTGTCGGAGCCCGAGGCCGATGAGCTCCCCGCACTGATGCTGTCCAGGCTCGCGCGTGCCGCCGACGCAATCGACCCGAAGACCGCGGCACTTGCTGCGGCCACTGCCGCGGCGGCGCTGCTGCCGGCGGTCCACGTGGGAGACGGGCACCTCTCGCGCAACCGCGCTGCGGTGGGGGCAGTCTTTGCTGAGCGAATGACGCTCTCGCGGCTGCAGGCGCAGCCGCCCAGCGCACTCGGCTGCACGCAGGCGGCGGCGGCGCTGCAGCCGCTCATGGTGAGAGAGGGCGACCAGGCGGACGCGGCGCTGGTCCTCGACCTCTTCCGCTCGGACGAGGACGAGGGCGAGGAGGAGGCGCAAGACGGCGAGTCGGTCCGCGACGACGCCGACGATGGCAGCGCTCTCGACCCGGGCGGCGAGGGATATCTCCCCATATCTCCCCATATCTCCCCATATCTCCCCATATCTCCCCATAGCTCTCGACCCGGGCGGCGAGGGGTACGACGCGGCGGCTGCGTACGACGTGGGCGCAGACCCGTGGGTACTGAGCAGGCGAGCAGTCTAGGAAAGGTCTAGGAAAGGTCTAGGAAAGGTCTGGGTACTGAGCAGGCGAGCGTTGGCGAGAGAGACAAGACTGCAGGAGATCGACGAGGGAAGCGGCCCCACCACCCGAAAGACAGAGAACACAGCCCCCCCCCCCCCCCCCCTTCCCCCGTTAGCAGTCTGAGCCTCGCAGGCAGGCGGAGACCTTTCCTAGACCTTTCCCAGACCCTTCCTAGACCTTTCCTAGACCTTTCCCAGACCCTTCCTAGACCTTTCCCAGACCTTTCCTAGACCCTTCCCAGACCTTTCCTAGACCTTTCCCAGACCTGCCTCTGCCTCGCAGGCAGGCGACCGCGGCGCTCCCCGGCTACAACGCATCCGGGCCTCGTGCTGCCCTCTCGCACAGCTGGGCCGCTCTGCTGCACGCGCCGTCGGCGGCGTGGGTGCGTGCGCTAGTAGTAGTAGTTGTAGCAGCAGCAGCAGCAGCAGCAGCAGCAGCAGCAGCAGCAGCAGCAGCAGCAGTGCACTGCAGTTGCTGCAGCAGCTGCAGCAGCAGAGTAGCAGCTGCAGCAGCGGCAGCAGCAGTAGTAGTAGTAGGAGGAGGAGGAGGAGTAGCAGTAGTAGCAGCAGCAGCAGTAGTAGTAGCAGCAGCAGCAGCAGCAGCAGCAGCAGCAGCAGTGCACTGCAGTTGCTGCAGCAGCTGCAGCAGCAGAGTAGCAGCTGCAGCAGCGGCAGCAGCAGTAGTAGTAGTAGTAGGAGTAGCAGTAGTAGCAGTAGTAGCAGTAGTAGCAGTAGTAGCAGTAGTAGCAGTAGTAGCAGTAGTAGCAGTAGTAGCAGTAGTAGCAGTAGTAGGCAGCGACTCTTCAAGAAGAAGCCTCACCGACGCCGGGCTACAGCGCGGGAGGAAGGTCTAGGAAAGGTCCAGGAAAGGTCCAGGAAAGGTCTAGGAAGGGTCTAGGAAAGGTCCGGCCTACTGCGCGGGAGGAAGGTAGGGGCCCATAAGGACAGGGGTGCTAGCAGGTGTGCGCGCTCGACGCGACGTGCGAGCGGCGCGGCGCGCAGCTGGCAGAGAGGCGCGTCCAGGACACGTCCACGACCTGTCCGAGACATGTCGCACAGGCGCGGCGCGCAGCTGGCAGAGAGGCGCGTGCGCCTCCTCTCGTTCGCCCCCACGCCGGCGGCGGAGGAGCTGCACCAGTCTTTGCGGATCCCCTCGCCGCGCCTCCCTCCCATCGCGGCGACGGCGGCGGCGGCGGTCACGGCGGCGGCCGCTGCGGCGGAGAAGGCGGAGAGGTAGTGGGGCGAGCACACCGTCGGAACCAGCCCGGACCTTTCCTAGACCTCTCCTAGACCTCTCCTAGACCTCTCCTAGACCTCTCCTAGACCTCTCCTAGACCTCTCCTAGACCTCTCCTAGACCTCTCCTAGCACACAGCCGGAACCAGCGACTGGGGCACCGGCGGGGAACGGGTGGACGCTAGACGGGGGGTGACGGCCACACAGGCAGGAGCGACACACAGGCCACACGCGGGTCACAGGGACACTCCGCCACCGCCAACTAGGCGGCGGCCGCCGCGGCGGCGGCAACGGGGGCGGCGCTGGCGGCGGCGGACGTTGTCGTGGCGGCGGCGGCGAGCGGCCCGAAGCCCGCGGACAAGGAGCAGCTGATGCGCCGCTTCTCAGCTGAGACAGAGGGCGTCGCGCGGGCGTGGGAGGAGTGGAGGGCGCGCGCGGCCCCCCCTCCACACCAACACCAACACCCCCCCCCCCTCCCCTCCCTTTCTTCTCCGTCTCCGTTTAAATCGTCTTCCTCCTTCTCTTCCTTTCGGCCAAGCTGCACCCCGCCGACCCCGCAATCTCGCCGCATCTCGCCGAATCTCGCCGAATCTCGGATAGGCGCGCGCGGCCAAGCTGCGCGCCGACGCGGACTCGACGGCCGGGAGCTGGAGGGGCGGGTGAGATGCAGCCGCGATGCAGCCGCGATGCGGCCGAGATGCAGGTTCAATTCGTACTCTGACGGCCCCTGTGCGCGTTCGCCCGTCGTCTCCCCCCCAGGCGCCGCCGCATTGCCGAGGGGGCGAGGTCATCTTCCGTGGTGGTCCTCCTCCCCCTCACGAGCGGCAGCGCCGTGATCGAGGTCGAAGCTTGTTCTCTGCCCTGCCCCCCGCCCCCCAACCCCCTTCTCCCTTTATCTCCTCTGTTTCTGTCTCTGTCTCTGTCTCTCGGGGTCTCTCTCCTTTTCGCCTGTGCCACGCGCTTTAGTAGATAGCGCCCTACCAGTCAGTACCAGGGAGCCCCCCCCCCCCCCCTCCCTAGCTTGCGCATGTCGCGGTTCTCTCGTCTGCCCGATCAGAGCCCCCCCTTTCTCCCCGAGCTCGCCCCCGCCTTGAGGCTCCCCTCTCGGCTCCCCTCTCGCGCCGCCTCCTCTTGTCAGCGCTTGATGACACAGCCGCTTGCTACCGACCATCCGAGAGTCCCGACACGACACGCACGCCTACGCCCCCCGCCGAGCCCCCAGTCCCCGACCCATCGCCCGCGCACCCACTGCACAACCCGTGTCGTCCCGCGAACGCCCACGATCCACGCGACTCACGCAACTCGCTCCTCCTTCTGCTCGGTGCTGCCCGCACCCGGTCTCCTCGAGCTTTCCTAGACCTTTCCTAGACCTTTCCTAGACCTTTCCTAGACCTTTCCTAGACCTTTCTGCTCGGTGCTGCCCGCACCCGGACTCCTCGAGCTTTCCTAGACCTTTCCTAGACCTTTCCTAGACCTTTCTGCTCGGTGCTGCCCGCACCCGGACTCCTAGAGCTTTCCTAGACCTTTCCTAGACCTTTCCTAGACCTTTCTGCTAGGTGCTGCCCGCACCCGGACTCCTCGAGCTTTCCTAGACCTTTCCTAGACCTTTCCTAGACCTTTCTGCTAGGTGCTGCCCGCACCCGGACTCCTCGAGCCCGCCGTGCTGCACTTGCCCGCCGGAGCAGCGCTCATGCTGGACGGCTCCGTCCGGTGGCGCCTCGTCGACGTGGAGGCGGAGGAGGCCGCCGCCGCCGCCCCCTCAACCCCGCGCGGAGGCGTCGCGCGCACGTTTAGCAGCCGCGGCCTCGCAGACGACTTGTCGCGATGCCTGGTTGCTTTCGAGTACGCGACGCCGCCGCTGCCTCGCGACGACGCGGCCGCGCCGGAGGGGTGGGACGACCGGCTGGCGAGCTGGCGCCGCCTCGCCCAGCGGGCGCTGCTCGAGGCGGCCCTCGGCGCGGTGGCGGCTGCGGCGTGCGCTGGGCTCAGCTCGAGCGTGGTGGTCGACCTGGCAGGGGGTCGGGACAGAGGGGACGGCGGGCCAGAGGTTACTTGGTACTGAAAAATGAATCAAAGGGAGAGGGCGGTGTGTGTTCTCTAGGCCCCTAAAGGCCCTACGGGCGCAGGAGCGTGGGAGCCACAACCCCTGCCTAGACGAGTACAGCTACGGCTCTATAAAGAGTACCCGCGGGCCTCCCCTTGCGGGAGACTCCCTGTGGGGGCCCGTGAACATCTTTAGCTTGTGAGCCAGGAAAAGAGGGTTGCGTGGGAGCTCGGTAGCGAGCTTTGCATGGCGATCGAGGCCGTGTCGCGTGTCGGCGTGTCGCGTGTGGGGGCGCGCGGGACTAGTTGCAAAAAGTCTGTGGTTCAGAACCCGCCAAAGACCAGGATGCAGGAAAAATTGCGGCCAGCTCGGGGCTCGATCTGCTCAAAAAAAGTGACGTGGAGCACCCAACATTTAAGCGTTCCGCGCACACACAAGGTCCGCCTGCGTGCGCCGCCACGCGCCAGCTTCCCAGGGCCATCGCGCGAAAAACGAAGGAGGAGATGCATCCTAGCTGTCGCCACCGAAGGCGACTCGACGTCGCTGAGATCAGAGATCAAGCTCGGACAGGTCACACGTCGCTCCTTTGACGCCGACGTGACTCACCCGTGCAGACCACATCAGGACACGGTCTCGACGCGCTCGGTACGACGCCTGCGGCCCGTCTTGGGTCAGGTGGCACGACGCTCATCGCGCCTGCCAGCGCTGCCGTGCAGGCTGCCACGACGAGGTCGAGCACGCTTCTATCCGCTCGCCCAGCCTTCCTCTCCATCCCATTAGGCAGCCTGGGAACGGTGGCGGTCAGAGGCAAAGCCAACGAGGGGTGGTGGAACCACATGTCACGGCCACCGCCGGTCGACCCCGGGGGGGGCAAGGGGGGGCGACCCTCGCATCTCCACACCCGGACACGGGCAGGAGCCCCACGGCATTCAAAGTGCAAGCACTGGCGCGGTGCACGTGGGTGAGCAGCCTGCCCCTCCCTCCCGACAAACCAACATACTCCCGCACACACACAATCGCACTGTCTCTGGCCATCCACGGTGCGACTGGAGCTAGCTCCACTTTTCCCACTCATACGGCCCTTTTCTGCGCCACAATGTGCGCTCCGCGCCCCTAGCACAGCGCCGTCTCCCCCGCCGTGCCCGCGCCACATGTCACCTCGCACTGCCGCGCGCGCGATTTCCCTGGTCCGCCTCCCCCCCGGCCACTCGGCTCTACGCGCCCGGCGGGCTCGGCCTCGCAACTATGTGTGTGTGTGCGGTGAGCCGCCCCACCGTCGGGCGCGATCGGCCTTTGCGGCGCACAGGATACTCTCGTCGTTCTCCCTCCTGTCGTTTCCTCCTCTGTCGCGTCGCTCTCGTCTGCCTCGTCCAGCGACGCTGCCGCCGCCTGCCGATCCCGTGCTCTCGCGGCTTCTCCCGCCTTTCGGCGCAACTCTGCCCTCCTCGCGGCATATTTTGGCCCCTTGAGTTTATCGAGCTCTCCTCGCGCGAGGACGACTCTTCTGACGCCAACTGCGATCATTTGCCGCCAAGTCATATCGTTGCTCAGGTCCACTCTCTCTTCGAACACTTGTACCTCCACGGATGATGCTGGCGCTGGGTTCCCCTTCGGGTGCATCGTGACAGCTGACGACGAGATTACCACTGGTGTGTCGTCCTCCTCGGAGTCGTCTTCCCCGGCGTCCTCCCGTTCGGCTCTACGTTCAGCACGTTCAGCGTGGCTCACCCTCCATGCCTTGAACAGGCGCTTTATCCATCCTGTATATTCTTCTCTCGTTCCTCTGTCCTTGCCTTGGTCTTGTCGTTGTTTCGCGCACCCAAGTCTGTATGGCAATCGAGGCTGCCTTCCCCACTACCTGTAGTTCACTCGTCACCTCTCCTGCGAGCTCCCCTCTTTTTCTTTCAGGCATGGAGTCCGTGAGTGCGGGCAGCGTGCAGGCACAATCACGGGCGCTCTTTTGTCGTACTCCTCTTCGGCGAGCGCTCCAAATCTAGACCCCGTTGCCTTTAAGGAGGCTGCCCTCGCGCGTCTCAGGAATGCGGCTGTGTCTTTTGAGTTAGGCGCCGCCCGTTCAACTCTTGCTGTCGCCCTCGCCGCGTGTTTGTCAGCTTCCGCATGAAGTAACGCGCCTCTTCCTTATTCCCAGCGCATTTGCCGCTCAGTAGGTGCGCCAACGACGCCTGTGGTGGATGGATCACTGTCTTCTTGTGTCCAGTCGTCCCAGTCTCTCCGTTCTCCGATTCTCCTCCTTGCCTCGCGCGCCTCTTTTGTGGCCTCATCCCTAGCCGCCTTGCACGCTCTGCATCCCCAAAACGCACTCCTTGTGGCGGGGCCCCTCATTCCCCGTTTCTTTTCTCCCTCTAGAATACGCCTGTGGTGTGCCCCGTGTGGCACCCCGACCTGTTGTCTCACCCTGGCTCCCAAGATCGTTTTGGTCGTCACATTGTGACCTCCGACGTCGTCAAATGTCGCCCGCCTGTCCTTCCCCCCGTTCTCGTCTGGTAATCTCATCTTATTGTCCCACATCGATGTTTGAGGCTGGCTACGGCCACTTCGCTCCACAGCCGTCCCGCCACCCCTGCCGTGTGCGATCCCGGCCTCACCGTCTTTCGAAATTGTTCGCACACCCACTCGTGCGCGCTCTGACACATGTGCCCGTACGTCCGTCGGTCCACTATCTCCCTCTTCTCTGTGCCCTCTGCCGCCTCCCTTCTCGCCGTGTACATGCACGGTCTAGTTCGTACCGCGTCAAAACTCATCGCCATTCGAAGGGGCGCCGGGCGCCCGTTCCAAATCCGAAGAGTTTTTGACCATACAAAAGGTGATGGACGTATTGGGAGCGCGACTGGTATGCTGTCGTGCCTAATGTCGTGCGCCCCTTTCAAATTCTTTTTGCTACAGCCGCCAGGAGCCGCCACCGTACCCATTGGTTCTTGGGGACCACGTCGCCGCCACCGTACCCTCCCCTCCCGGCTCGGCATCCCCACCACCTTCACCGCCTTCTTTCCCTGGAGGCGCGCGCGCGACCCACATCGCGCAAACCCGCACAGGAGATGCCTCTGGGGCTGGGCCTACTCGCGGGCGCGGTCCTCGGCTTCAGCTCGACTCCACAGGGCTCGCCGTCGCCACCCCCGTCGGCCTCGCCCCTCCTGCCCCCGTCGGCGTCGCCCCACCCATCCCCGTCGGCCTCACCCCTCCCGCCGCCATCGGCCTCACCGCTCCCGCCCCCCTCTGCCTCGCCCCTTCCGCCGCCGTCGGCCTCGCCCCTCCTGCCCCCGTCGGCGTCGCCCCACCCATCCCCGTCGGCATCGCCCCTTCCGCCGCCGTCGGCTTCGCCCCTTCCGCCCCTCTCTGCCTCGCCCCTTCCGCCGCCGTCGGCATCGACCTATGACTGCAGCGCGGCCAACCCACTGATCGCGAACGGATGCCTCGGCTGCTGCGGCTTCCAGGACCCTCCCCCCGAGTGCGATCAGGGCGCTCCAACGGTCTCGTGCTGCCCGGCTGAGTATGACTGCAGCGCGGCCAACCCACTGATCGCGAACGGATGCCTGAACTGCTGCAACATCCAGGGGTACCCCCGCGTGCCAGGTTGGTTGTGTCCCGATGTTCTCGTGCTGCCCCGGCTAGCACCGCCCTCGCCGCCGTCAGTGCTCTGCCCTGGCCAGCCGGCAGAAGAGTACTGCGATTGTGAGGGAGATTGCGTCGAGCATCCGGCTTGGTGCGCTTGCGAAGACGCCGTAGCGTGCTGCCTAGCGCCGCCCTCGCTCTGTGGGCCTAGCGCCGCCCTCGCTCTGTGGGATCTCGGAGAAGGAGGAGAGAACTCTTGCGGTATTTAGTGCATAGTGGGTTGGCGAGAAGGGGGGGAAGCCCAATGTGTGTTGGCTTTGCGTCTATTTCGAGACCGACGAGAGTTGCGTACACATGCGTTTGTTTGGGACAATTCTCTTATACTTACACTGGTAGATCCGTATAGAGGCTATTACTGCGACTCTCCACGGCCGATGGGCACGCTCAGTGAGGGCGCGCGGTCGCTCTCAGATCTCGCACTACGGCTCCCGCGGGATCAGCATCGAGGAGGTCGCCTTGCGCGCGGTGTGCGTCTTGGCGAGGTAGTCGGTGTGCTCCTGGTACGGGTTCTTGGGAAGCG